GAAGTCATCATTCAAGGTGCTCCTAGAGAACCTGTATGTGGGTTGGTGTCACTTTGAAACTGGGGAGAGGCTGGGGTAGAAGTGGGGGTATGGGGATAGATGCTAGGCCTAGAGTAGTAGGCAGCTGCCTGCCTTCATGGCCACCCTTTTTCTTCAGAATAAAATGAACATAAATGGGGAGGGGCTTTTCCACCTGATCGGCCCTCCACTAGGGTGGTTTATGGGTCAATTCCCTTTTAAATCACCAGCTGGCTGAGAAAATCCACTCTTTAAGATACCCTAGGGACAACTCTAAGTCAGGGTTGACTGAAGGAAACAGGATATGATTCCACAGGAACTTGTGGCTCTGCTTTAAAAAAAAGCATCATTTTAGGGGCACCTGGGTGGCTCAGTCGGTTAAGTATCTGACTCTTGGTTTCGGCTCAGGTCATGATCTCAAGGTCGTGGGATCAAACCCGATGTCAGGCTCCGTGCTCAGGGCAGAGTCTCCTTGTCCCTCTCCTGCCCCCTCTACCCCTCCCCCAACACATTCACGCTCTTTCTCTCTCTCGCTCTAAAATAGATAAATAAAATCTTTAAAAAAATTAAAAAGCATCATTTTATAATTCAGTGAGGCTCCTAAGGAATCTCTAAAAAAATATAGCAGCAATTGGTTGGTTGGTCAATTTTCTTGGTTCATTATTTAAAATAAAAGGAATAGAAGACCCAATATTTGAAAAAAGCAAGCATTTATTTAAATATGTGGTTTTCCTTCTAGAGCTTTGAGGAAGTTTAATTTAAATTTTTTTCCCAAAGTAATCTGGCTACATTTTAGCTTTCATCTCAAAATCAGAAGCAATAACACCTATGTTGGTACTTGATATTACAAGCAGAGGGATGTTTCATCACCAATTCACACATCTCCCTCATTTTATGCAGAAGAAAATGGACACCCAGGGAGCGACTTGGCCAACATCTCCCAGCTAGTGAGAAATACGGGGTCTCTATTACACATGAGCAGGTAGAAACTGCCCAGCAATTACTGCAGGTCAGTGTGCCTGGGTGCTGTACATACATTACTTATATTAATCCCCACAAAGTAGATATTAAAGAGCCAACCACAGATACTATTTATCAAGTCTTTGTACTAAGTACTTTAATTCCTTTTCTCAAATCACCACAACAACCATCTAATATAGATACAACCAGTCCTCTTTTACAGAGAGAGACATCAGGTGCAAAGAAGTCTTGCCCAAGGCCACTTTTAAATAAGAAGTAAGCCAGGGATTCTCACCAAGTTGTACCTCTCACATGAAGCATCTGTGTTCTTTTCACTCTCTAAGAGGTTTTCAAAGTGCAGGTCACAGTGGTGACAGTGACCTCAATTTGGTGGGTTCACAAACATTGAAAAATAAAGAAAAAGAACAGAATGCAACAAGGATAGACTAATTTAAAAATAGAGTATATCACATCAGCTATACATATGTCTGGGGTGTGTGTGCGTGTGTGTGCGTGTGTGTGTGTGTGTGTTTACAACACAACCAAGCAATTAACTAAATTCTGGCACCGTCCACCTAGGGATAGCATCATGTCCCACAGGTTAAGAGCTCAGTCCTATAAGATTGCTCTCCGACCCCCTTCAGATGACATTTGAAAAGTCCAGGTTGTCACTGGTGCTTTTGACCAACCTGCTATACATTAGTTTCCCATGATACCCTCCTTGGGTTTGATTAATTTGCTAGAGTGGCTCACAGAACTCAGAGAAACAATTTACTTACTAAATTACCAGTTTATCTTAAAAGGATGTAATTCAGGAACAGCCAGATGGAAGAGATGCAAAGGCAAGGTATAGGGACATGGAGCTTCCATGCTGTCTGAGCAAGCCACCCACCCCCCATCTCCATGTGTTCACCAACCCAGATGCTCCTTTTTGGGTGTTTTTGGAGGCTTCATTACATAGGCATGACAGGTTAAACCATTGGCCATTAGTAATTGAATTCAATCTCCAGCCCCCCTCCCCTCCCTGGAAGTGGTGGTGGTCAAGAGAACTGAAAGTTCCAGCCCTCTAATTACGTGCTTGGTTCCCCTGGCAATCAGCCCCCATTCTTGGGTGCTTTCCAAAAGTTACTTTATAACATAAACTCTGGTGGGGTTGAAAGGAGTTTGTTATGAATAACAAAAGAAAACTTCATGGCTCTTATCACTTAGGAAATTACAAGTTTTAGGAGATCTGTACCAGAAATAGGACAAGATCAATATATATTTATTATAAATCACAATGTGTGTGTATGTATGTTTTGATGTTTTTCTTGTGGGGCATGGTCAGACTTTGAAAGCTACTGCACTAGCACACAACTAATCTTTCTAATTAGCAAAACATTGGTATACGGTATAGTTAACTACCTCCCTGCAGATTAGTAAAGCAGTACCCAGATCTGCTGTGGATCCTTCCCATCACATTCTCAATGGCAGCAGTGTTGTATTCCATCAAACTTGATGGACAGAGGATTCTTTCTCTACCCTGACACCAACTGTCTGACATGTGGTCCTAGGAATGTGGGTTGACACAACCAAGTCCATGCCCAGGCATTTCAGCAAGCCCATGTCTCATGCGTGACAAAGTCTATAAATTAGGGCATCATCATTCAGTGTAAAAGACGACAGTCCATACCTATACACCTTGAGTCATTGTTATTTTTCTGCCCTTAGATTGTCGTGAAATAAAAGACTCTATAATACACCACACTTACTATAGACCAACAGAATAGTTGGAAAGAGCACAATTCATTTTATAAGCAGTAGCAAGTTTTACAGTGAGAGGAAATTTGGTTAGAAATAGTGGTTACTCCGGGCTCCTGGGTGGCTCAGTCGTTAAGCATCTGCCTTCGGCTCAGGTCATGATCCCAGGGTTCTGGGATCGAGCCCTGCATTGGGCTCCCTGCTCAGCGGGAAGCCTGCTTCTCCCCCTCCCACTCCCCCTGCTTGTGTTCCCTCTCTCGCTGTGTCTCTCTCTGTCAAATAAATAGAGAAAGAATCTTAAAAAAAAAAAGAAAGAAAGAAAGAAATAGTGGTTACTCCTTCAAAGGTCCCGTATTATGTGTTAGGGATCCAAAGACAAATAAGGCTAGAGCTCAAAGTCCAGCAGGTGTTTCAGGCATAGTAAAGTCACGGGAGGAACTAGAAAGGGATGTGATGTACATTAACTGCCGTAGTAATTAGTTCAACATTATAGAGAAAATGTGAAGAAAGAGCCTTGGTAGTGTGGTGAAAATAACTAGATTGGTTTGAATCCAGGGACTGATATTTACTTCTGTATATTGACTGAAATGAGAAATATCTACTAGTATCTGGTCAGCTATATGTAATAGTGGGCACTAACAATTTAGATTCCTAGTGAAATGATATCCTATTTTGAAAGAAACAAATATGAACTTGGAATTTAAGATTGCCCATGTATTTTAGAGCTGAATGCAAAATTGGTATCCCAAATAGGCCTTTATTTGTTAGCCTGCTTTCTGGATATTCTAGATTTGGGATGACATCAATGAGAAAGATCAAAGATCCACGATTTTCTTTCACTCGAACATTTTTGAATTGCTGTTTCTGTGGTTGGCATTGTGAATAAGAAAAACTACCTTACCTTGAGTGCTTTCTGTTAATCTAGTGAGAGGCCTCTCTTCTTGCATTGTCAACAACCAGCTGAGAGCCTATCACTCTCAGCTGTCTTACAAGACTTCTGACTTCTCATCTGTTGTCTGGGGAAAGCTCATGCTTCACCTACTAGCTCTAATTTACAGAGAATCTTTATGTCTACTCATTACATTTCCTTAAACAATACTTTTGCAAGAGGGCCCTTTCAAAATCTATACTCCCTTTTGTGACAGTATAAACTCATTTAAACAGAACCTGGCAGGCAGGAAGAATTCAAATGCTGGCTAATTATCTGCTTGATCATTATTAGTCAATACCTTTAAGATTCTCTGGTTGCTATCAGTGTTATATAAATTCACTTCCTTGTTAAAACTGTATTTTCTTTTATTTTTTTAAAAGATTTTATTTATTTATTTGAGACCAAGAAAGAGAGAGAGAGCAAGCACAAGTGGGTGGAGGGGCAGATGGAGAGGGAGAAGCAGACTCCCAGCTGAGCAGGGAGCCGGATGCAGGGCTCGATCCCAGGACCCTCAGATCATGACCTGAGCTGAAGGCAGACACTTAACCGACTGAGCCACCCAGACGCCCTGAAACTGTATTTTCTGGGAAGTAAAATGAATAGTTTTGCTCCTTTTTGGGAATTAAATGCCTAATATTCTGAAAAAGAGCCCCAGCCCTATGTGGTAGATAGTGCCATGGGGTCCACGTGCTAGGGGAGGAAATTGAAGCAGAGCGGTTCAGTGAACTTGCCCAAGGTCTCAGAGCTGGCAGGTAGTGAGCAGGGCTTCCGACCACCAGCTGGCTTCAAGCCTGTACCAGTGACCAATCCGTACAGCCTAAGGAACCAGCTGCTCCAGGATGCGGTGCGCTAGAATGGACCTGTGATCACCAGCCTGTGAAAGTGGACTCTGGGTTTATCTCATCTCTGTCTTTAGCTCACTTTCTGGCCTTGGTAGGTCGCAACTTCTCCAGATCTTCATTTCTTACCCCCAGAGGGGAAAAAAGGAGATACTGAGTCAAATGATCTCTTCACTGTTTCCCCTTAGCTCAAACTCCAAATCTTTACTGTGAGTCAACCAGGGAGGAAGGGGAGTACAATATTAATAGCCGTTCATTATTAAGGAAAAATGATACCTGCTTTTGAGAAAGAGTTTTTGATGTTTCTAAAGAAAGCCCGAAGGGCAGACTGTAACGGATTTGCAGAGGGGTTTGGAAAAACCCACGAAAGAAAGAGAAAGATGAGGGGCTGGGCATGGTGCTCAATGAGAGCACTGAAAACAAAAACAAACAAAACAAATAAATTGGGGGAAAGAAAAATTTACAGCCCCCAAATAATATAGGCTGTCTTACCAAAATTTCTTTCACTTCAGAATGAAGAAATACTGGAAGGCAGTCACGATGGGGAGAACCCTGAGCCAGAGCAGCCCGACAGTCCTGAAAATCTTTCCCCCACCAGGTAAGATTGCAGATCCCTGGCCGGAGTCATTTTAACCCCTTGGGGTGGTGGGGAGAGGGGAGGGTATCCTCTGTTTTAAACCTCATCACTCATTTTTCCCCAGATAAAATCACATATTTACTGTGTATACTAACCTTCATTTATGTACCTGAGAACAAACTCACGGATCTCATAAAAGCAACAAGCAAGAACTGCACATGACTTATAAACCAAGTTCCAAGGATACTCAGTATTTTAAAAAATGAATTATCAAGAAAAAACAAAATAGTAAATGTAAAGTAATGTTGATAGATTGAATTATTGGTTTGAAAGCATTTAAAGGGAAGAGGTTCCCCAAAGACACAATTTATACAAATTTAATGCTATTTTCAGACCACGGGAAGGTATTTGCATGAATGTAACTACTCTGCCGTTCAGAAAGCCTAAATTAGGGAGGTAAACACCAAGAGCAGAGGGGAAATTCAATAAAAAAAAAAAAAAAAACTTCTTTATACTCAGAATCTCCATCATTAGCTCTATTCCAGCAATCATCACATTATTTGTATCCACACCATTTAACTTACTGACTTACAAGCCACTCTTGTGCCCAGGGACTATGATAATACTTAGCTCTTAGCAGGCCTCCAAAATATGCCTGTAGAATAAATGAACCAATGTCTGAGGAACTTACTGCTTGATTAAAACCCATATTAGTTTACTAGACGACTTTATACTCTTTCACTTTAAGGTGTACTCAAAGAAACATGTGGGCTCTTACTGACCGAAATATTATCTCTCAGAGTAAATGGCCCATGTCAGCATATCTGAAAGTATCTTTAGTTGGGTTGTCTCAGAAAAGCACCACTTGGCAATGTGTTCTGTTGTTGTCCTTAAGTGACAGCATATCTTTTTTTTAAAGAGAGAGAGTATGAGCAGGGAAGGGGGGCGAGGGACAGTGAGAGAGGGAGAATCCTAAGGAGGCTCCACCTGCAGGACAGAGCCTGACTTGGGGCTCGGAACTCATGACCCTGAGGAGATCATGACCTGAGCCGAAATCAAGAATCAGATACTTAACCAACTGAGCCATCCACGTGCCCCAGAGGGGGTAAAATGATTTTAAACACTATGTGATAGCATTGTGCACAGTCCTTACCTTTAGAACTTCTATTTTAGCTAGGAAAAAAACTCATGAAACAATTAGTTGGTAGCACAATAATATATGTGATTAAGTATGTATTTTGGGAGGAGGGCAGGAAAGAGATGCTTAATGGAAGAGCACAGTTAAGTTGGATTTTCAAGGCTTCAATAGGTCCAGGAGAAATGATGTTCCATTGGTTAACTTACACAAGGTGTGGTCATGAATGGGATGTGTGACTGATGATAGTGGTGGTGGGAAAAATAATGCTTTGGGAACTCAAGAAGGAAGGGAAGATTCTATAAGGCCTTGGGAACCAGGTCGAAGAGATTAGATTCGATGCTCAAGACAGTAAGGAGCCTTTGAGGTCTGGAGCAAAAGAGTATCTACAACCAAAAAAATCACATGCTTCCAAGTTTTAAAAACATAAATAGATCAAATCACACCATGTCTTGGGCTAAGAACTGAGCAGGAATCGGGTGAAAAGCAGAGAACATACTATGTACAAATATACTGAAGCAGCACTCAGAACCAGTCCCAAGAACATTCCTGACTTTCAAAGACTAGAGCTAAATGTGAATCTACTTTCCGACACCTAATGATATCAAATAAAAGGAAAATATGACCCTTTCCAATGGTGTCTGGTGGCCCCATGGCTACAGGTGTTCATCTCTTTCCTGAACAATCAATTAGAAAAGAGAATTCCCCCAACTTAGACATTCCAGCATACGTCCTTTAACAACCAAAAGAAGCATTTTAGGTGGCTCCAGGGCAGAGGACACAATAATCCTCTCTCCTGGGTACAGCAGCAAGTCTGATTAAGGATTAAGATTGTGTACTTCAGACCTCCCTGACATTAAACAGAACAAGTTGATTATATAAACAAATGGTGTTCATACACAGGAGTTTAAAAAGCTTGTGAAAATACACATCTGCTGACAATTTTCAAGTTGTTTATTGGAAATCACAGATTTATTTTTAAAAACTCACTAATTATTTTGCCATATAAGAGCAAAATTCAAATAATATAAATATTTAACATACTGGTATAAAATTAATAATGTGGAAAAAAAGATGCAAACCAACCAAGAGGTAAAGTTTTTAGCAATAACACTGTGTACAACAATCGTCTACTCAAGTGACCATACAGGCTGATAGTTTATTTTCCCTTTGTTGACGATTTTTGAGACAGCCCTGCATTAGAGCACCAAAAAGTTTTTTCCTTCTTTTTTTAAAAGGCTGGAATCCTTTTATTTACAAATATTCTTCTCAGTACTTTAAATCTAATGAAGGAAGCATCTAGCAATTTCCTTCTTATTAAAAAAGGAAGTGCCTTCATATTTCCTTTAAATTTAAATCTGTTCCATTCTATTTGAAGCAAAAATAAAAAGATGAACACAGTTGAGGAGAGCTCTTTTGCAAATAAGTGTTTCACAAAAGTATTGCTGTAAACAAGATCATTTCAATGGCCAGAGAGACACTTACGTTTTCAACCAATGGAAAATTTTAACAGTTACAAGTATAGATAGGCAGGGTATGTATGGCCAAAGGGCAAATGGTTATTAAAGAATCAACTAGTAAAAATTAATTATAAACCAGCTTTGTCAAAATGTAGTTTTGTTATCTACAGGTTTTAAAATTGGTCAGAAAATTTAAACTGTCATGACCTATAAATGCTGCACCTACTCTGAAAGTAACTACAAACCCAGAATGGTTGACACTGTAGTTTTGACATTAGTTAAAAATTCTAAATTATCTGAGCAATCAATGTAAACAAGCCTCAGTTTTCAAAATAGAAAAGAAATTAACAAAAAATTTCTGTAAACATTAAAAAGCTATCTGCAAAAAATTACAATATATCATCCTCCAGTTGTGCTTACCAAGAATTCTTTTAGTTTTGTTTCCTTCTGCATGTTTCAGACCTCATCTAATGACATGAGACATCTTAGTTTTCCCTAACAGGCACCTCTGCAGAGAGAGAGGTTTTATAATCAGTTCAACTGCTTTTGCTGAAGTCACCATTTTGGACATCATGTAATCCCTGCGACAATAGACATCACCTAGTTCTTTCTGTAGTGAGGGGAGGTTGTTGCATCATGACCACATTTCTATCCTTCCCTATAAGATAAATGCAACTTACTCTTTTAGAGCTCAGCCACATCTCTTTGAATAGGAAGCGTCACAAATATTTTAAACCTCATTCTGGTGACATTTCTATCACTTCATTCTGCTTTCAAATGTGAAGTATTTCAAAGTTGATGACACCTCCGATAGTCATTTTGATGAAAGAACTGATTTTTTTAAAGATAGGCTAGCTTTGATTTGATGTCAAATGCTCTCAATTTTAAAATCTGACAAAGTACTATGGTTTATGAGACCTTGTTGGGGAGGGGTAGGCTAATTTTAGTCATTGTTACAATAATTTACACACTAAGAATTTTATTTTATAAATTACAGAAAAGGAGAAAAGAGGCTTTTAATGTTCTTTCTTTTTGAAGTCCTCTCCATTATTCTATTCCTCTGTGCAAACTACATTCAAATAACTACCTTAAAAACAGACCAATATTGAATATTTAAAAATCAGCTGAAAAATTCATTAAAATTGGCTGATTTGAACTAACAATGATTTCTCCCTAGGGAAAGACCCTGTGAGTAACAAACTGCCCATGATTTGTGTCATATCTAATAATCAAAAAATTCACATGAAGTACCAGTTAGGGCAGAGCAAATCACGGCTCAAATTTCACATTACACTTTGTAAAAAGATATAAATATGTTTTAAATGACTCTAACACTATTTAGGTAAATTAGCTACATGGATGTGACAATAAGTGATTTGGCTGTTTATAAAGAAATCGTGTTACATTTTTCTAAGTCTCCTCTGAAGAACAGGAACCTTCTTTTATCAGGTTCAAGTACTTTCTCCTATGCCAATCCTCCCCTGCCCCCACCTCCCCCAGTCAAGTGCTCTCTAATAAAAACTAATTTGTAAACCTGGTCCGACAATATATTCATTTCTTTGAAATGTTGTACTATACATTCACTTGGTATTTTCCAAAAGCAGTTACTCTAACACCAAGGCACCTAATTAACTTCTCTATGCCTCAGATATACACGTGGCATCGAGTGAGAACTTGAATTTCCCTTTAGTTTTGTCTTCGTAAACCTTTTCTAAATATAAATTCCTTGAAATGAATTTAGGCAGTGAAGTAGATGAGTTACAATGAATAGCTTCTAGAATCAAAGAAACATTCTGATAGACTGGGTTTTCAAAATATTTCTTTGTTTTTTCATACTCATTTTACTTAAGGTATCGACAAATATCTATAGAGTTTTCTCATCCATGTTTGGCTCAGTGACAGTGAAAACATACAACATTCAAGTACTGTTAGACAAAGGCAGCCCTACAAGGATACGTGTCAATATAGGTCAACTTGCAAAGGAGAACTATCTTAATTATCCTGCAGTATATTTGACCAAAAAACCCTTTTGAAATTGTTTTGACTTTAGGGTCTGTGGCGTCCCTCCAGAGGTCCTGAAGGTCTTGTACGTGACCATGAGATGTCATCATTTTATCGTAGATGCAGGGATGATAAGGAGTTTTACCTTCCCCGGAGAAAAACACATGGTGTTGTGGCACTATCCCCATTTTATTGGCACAGAGGCCCATGAACACATCATCTATGTAAAGACTAGAGTTAAGTGTCTGTGACGCCTCATGGACTTTGGCGGCTACGTCACTGGAGATCACGTAGGCAGCCCCAGCAGTATAGTCAGGGTAAGCCGGCCACTGGTACATTTCATAGGGGACATAGTATTTGCTGCGTTTGTCTCTCACAGGAGGGGCACCACGATGAACCCGACCAATCCAGAAGTCCTGAACACC